ATTCGGCTATTCGTCGTCGCAGTGTTTCGAGTTCGGACGACTCTTGACGAGCCCGATTCCGTTCAATATGTTGTCGGAGGTCGGTCTGCACCGGATTGGAAGGATTTCGGCGCTGTGCATGAGGCGGTGACCGTCGTAAATGACCCGACTGGCTTTCGGCAGTTTCTTCTTGAGGAAGTATAGGAGGATTACGCCCGGCGTCGGTGCGACGTGTATTTTGTTCCGGAGGCGGTTGCGACATTCGATCACGAGGTTGAGATGTAGCATGAGATGTTGTCCTTCCGCCGTCTTGTCGCGCCGGTGGATTCTGTCGGTTCGCGGGGGTCGTGGGAATGATGGAGTGTCCCGGAGCAGTTGTCGATGTTCCCGGCATCGTTTGGGCCATTAGAGCGGCAAAACCACGCGCAAACTCCGGATTTTAAAACAGAACAGCATAATCCGGCACAGGTGGGGCCATAGCTTGTCGTCTGGCGGATTGCGCGGCGCTACGACTGTGGCCGTCTCGTGACGTGTGACCACGAGGATCTGAGTGAGACATGGCGGATATGGCTGGTGTGAATCGTCACGTGAAAACGCGGAGATTAACCCCAAATCACTTATGAGGCCCTCCTTCTAGCGCCAAACTGTTGTTATGTGATTTCTAACAACGATGTAACACGTACTTAAGATGAGAATTATGAATGATTTGGACGTAAAGCATGTAGAGTAACTTCAACAATGGCCCCGGTCCGAGGTGAACCGAGGTGAAGAGCCGTGATGGGCTTTTACGTGTTGCTTAATAAAGTTTTTTCAGTTCGGAGAGAGCTCCCCGTACAAATGTCATGGGTTCACTATTTATAGTAATTTTTGGTAGATACATTGGGATCTGTGTACTACTTTTTGAATAAAGTAACTTTTTGTGGGCGGTTTGGAGCAGTGGGTCCCACATAAATGATGACGGATCTTGTGGAGCGGGATGGTTGTGCGTAGGCACCTTGTCACCTGCTTAAGGAGGTGGCGATCTCGGTTTAAATAGACCTCGGTAGGTGCTGACCACTTCGGTCTTCGGTAATTCGGTCCGGTTCATCGCCTGGACCGGGGTGGTGTTAAAATCACGTCGGTTCAATTGTCATCTTCCTCTTAATGTGATGTTTGGAATCTCTTAATGTAGTTTTACCGAATCGGATGATAACAAGAGTTATGTGCGTTAAAGTTGCAAAGATCATTATATGGCTTGAAACAATCCGGGCGTATGTAGTATAATTGTTTGAGTGAACAATTACTAAAAAAGGGATACTTGAATGATCAAATATGTCCGTGTGTCTTTATAAAGAAATCACATGATGGAGTTGTGATAATTGCTGTCTATGTTGATGATCTCAATATTATTGGGACAGCAAATGAAATTCGAGAAGCAGTCACTTTTCTGAAAGGCGAATTTGAAATGGAAGATCTCGAAAAAACCAAATATTGTCTTAGTTTACAGATAGAGAGAGTACAAAATGGGATATTTGTCCATCAATCTAACTATACTAAAAGAGTATTGAAACGATTTAATATGGACAAAGCTAATCCCTTTAGTACTCCGATGGTTAACCGAACATTGGATGTTGAAAAGGATCCATTTCGACCATGTGAAAAAAATGAAGAAATACTTGGTCCTGAGGTACCATATATGAGTGCAATAGGGCTCTTATGTATCTTGCTAATTGCACCACACCAGATATATCTTTTGCTACCATTTTATTAGCAAGATATAACTCGTCACCTACGAGGAGACACTGGAATGGAATCAAGCATATATTCCGTTATCTCCAAGGAACAATCGATCTGGGATTATTTTACTCAAATGATAAAAAACATGAAATGATCGATTTTACAGATACAGGATATTTATCAGACCCACATAAGACGAGATCTCAGACTCGCTACGTTTTCACGATTGGTGGAACTGCATTTTCTTGGCGTTCTCAGAAACAAACACAAGTTGCTACATCTTCAAACTATGCTGAAATCATTGCACTGCATGAAGAAACTAGATAAAGCATCTGACTCAGAAACATGACTCAACACATTCAACAAGCCAGTGGATTCTCGAATAATAAAGACCCAACGGTGATATTCGAAGACAATGCAACATGTGTCGCTCAGACTAAAGAAGGATACATCAAGAGTGACAGAACTAAACATATCACACCAAAGTTCTTCTCATACACTCAAGAGCTTGAAAGGAATAAACAGATCAAGATTCAATATATCCGATCAAGCGATAACGCAGCAGATTTGTTTACAAAGGCGCTCCCAACTACAACATTCTGAAAGCATGTCCATAACATTGGAATGAGACATCTTCGAGATTTGTACGGATGATAACTCGAGGGGGAGCATGTGCGGCTGTACTCTTTTTTCTTTATCTCGATTTTTTTACCCACAGGATTTTTCTGAATAAGGTTTTTAATGAGGCAGCATAAACGCACATTGCATAGTGGTTATTCCAAGGGGGAGTGTTATAATATTAGCAAGTGGAATGAACTACTATGCACAAATAGTGACATTTCACTATTTGATTAAATGTAAATAGTAAATAGGGTATGGGTACGAATAATGGATGTGCATTATTTGTGTGCATGTGTCGGAAAAATTTTGCCTATAAAAGACACTCAAATGTAGAGAAATGTGACATCATTAAAAAGAAATAAAGAAGAGAGAAAATATTCAGTATAGTTTCTATCTGGCTTCTAATTTGTGATCGTTATCTTTCCCATTTTTATAACAGTTCATTTATTTTTCTTTATTTTATTTATTATTATTATTATTATTATTTATTTATTTTTTTGAATATGACAGAAAAGTTATTTATTTATTTATTTTTTGGCTCAGCAGAATACATGTTTTAACCGCATATTAGTTTATTCTGCTTTAACCGCATGTTAGTATTTGTTGTTTTGATAGCATGGTAGCGGTTTTAAAAAAATATATTTGGTAAAACGCTGATTGATTTGAAAATTATATTTGGTAATATTAAATTACTATTTTTTAATAAAGTATTAAATATCAGTTATATTTTATGTTATTATTTTTAGGTTACCAAAAATAAATTTCATGTTGCTAAATATTTTATATAATTCCATTTGTTAAATATAGACATACATTGACAAAATTATTGCATATAGTTATAATTCATAGTGCATAACTTTTCTTTTAACACATGTATTTGGGTAATCAAATTGATAAGTATTTCATAACTTATCCTTTGTTTTCTAACACATGTATTTGTGCTATTAAATTGATGAACACGGCATACTATAAATGTTATTTTCGGACATTTATTTTCATCAGCAAATTGATTAACATTTTATATCGTTCAAATGGATAATACATTGGAGGATAGAAATGCATATTTTTACCATATTCTAGTCGTGAATTTACATACCCAACAAGAACAATTTAATGAAAGACATACTATAAGTTCTATTTCACAAATTACAACAAACAAAAATACCATTATTATTAAATATACGATTCAAAGCCCACAAGTTTCATTTGTCTCGAATTACTTGACACATTTTATCATAAGAAATGTGGTGCTCTGAGGTCATGCAACATGTATCCTATAAAATCTCAATCTTTTTGCCAATCTTCTCACGATTAGTTTCTATTATTTTTGTTTATTTTTATTTTTGCTTTCATTTTCAAACTTGTTAACTCGGCAAGATGCTTAACCGTGTTGTTATATCATGTTGCCATCTGTTTAAGGTTAGATTTACTTTTGTCATTGATCTTTCATTTAGTTGTTTTCTATCCAATTGGACGAGTCACTTCATAGGTTCATCTATGCCAATGCTCGCATCCCCGTTTGATAAAGTAGCTGGCATCTAACTCATCAATTCTCATCTTTTTCTCCTCGACAGTAAGTCATTCTAAGATCGTTGAGTGTGAGGTTCCAGCGAGAAACCTCCGATGCCTAAATCAGTGTCAAGAAGATGATGGTGGTACTCTGTGAATAACATTAGTATAGAATGTATGGAGAATGTTAAGTTAGAGTTTGGTGATACCCACTCCCTTTTATAGGAAAATACATGCCTGAAATGTCCTGCTTGAGTGCCCGGAGGCAGCCTGCCCGACTGCCCAGATGCCTAAATTTAGTGCTTATCCATATGTATTAATATCCTAGTCACCATTAGATTTCATCTTATCTTCTCAGGATTCCTTCTTATCCTAATTTCTTACTTACTCATGTCGCAGTTCATATAGGTCCCTCCTACTAGTCGAGGTCGAGCTGTATTGTACCCTTTCGGTGGTTAAGTCGTCCCTTGAGTTGTTTATGAGCCGCTCAATCGTCTTAATCCCAAAGTTGTCTTGTCCTCCCTGTTACTCTTCCTTTAAAACGACCTGTTTAGGTCGTCTTTCACCTTAGTCGAGTTCCTTACACTTGTAATAATCCAATCTACACATATATGGGTATATCAGTATCATATAATACATTTTGAAATACATATCTTGAATTGTTGGGTGTTTCATAGCATATATTTGTGAGCAGGAGAATGCATATTTGGGAACCCTTTTATATGTTTGGCAGTAGTCCTCCTATGAACTTGCAAAATGTGACTACACAAGAAATCCAACTTCAAATCTGCGACCATCTTTCGCGCATTTGATCTCATAAGATGACAACCCTATTTTGTTTTCTTACATTTGATTTCAAAAGTGGTCTTATACACTTGCGTCAAAAATCTAACCAGTATATAAAACACCACACTCAAACACTACATTATCCCATTTCTAAACAAAATCTTCAAAATTCAAGGTTGCACAAACCTTGAAGGCAAAAAAGCCTATATAAAGTGCAGTTTCTAACTATTACAGTTCCAACTCTCAAAGCATTCCCACGTCTTTTTCCACAACAAGATGAAGAAATGAGCTCCCAAAGATCAAAACTAACACAAACACGCTCACAAAAAAGACAATCAATCAAGTTAATACTTAATACGGAAACAGAAACCAAAAAACCCGTCCCACTTCTACGAAAAATGAATCCCAGCCTTATTGAACAACGATAGTAGGTGCATAAAATCTGCCTGCGCCAGCTTCGATGACCTCTTCTCCTCGAACCCTCCGCTCTTCAACACCCCCAAAACCTTATTCTTAAAATCCGAGCCCTTTGCACCATTGATATTATCATTTTCCCCATCATCCATCTCCATCTCATTATCATCATCATTGTCACTATCGTCTTTACCATCGACACTCATCCCACCGAGAGTGTCCCCAAGAGCCGAAACACACGCGGCCATCTCTGCATCATCATCCTCCTGACGCCCGTCGGGCGCCAGCTGTAAAGCCTGCAGCGTCTTGTAATTCTTCTCGAGCAAGGAAAGCACGCTCTTCTGCCTGAATATGGAGCCCAAAGTTTTGTTCTTGCGGTTGAAGCAGATTCGGACAAGGCCATCCCACTCTTTGAAGTTAACGGGCGGGAGGGGCTTTCGAGGCTCGATTCTGACCACAGACGAGTCGACTTTTGGTGGTGGCCGAAAATTATTCCTCCCGACTTTCAGCAAGTGGTTGACGCGGGCAAGGAGCTGAGTGTTGACTGAGAGGCGGCAGTAGAGCGTGTCCCCCGGATGGGCCACCAGGCGCATGGCAAACTCTCGCTGGAACATGATCACGGCACACCTGAAGAGGGGCCGGTGGGAGAGCAGCTTGAAGGTAAGAGGGGAAGAGATCTGATACGGGATGTTGGCAACACAGATGTCGAAATACGGCAAGTCGCATTTCAGGATATCTCCTTGTATTACCTGAGGATAATACGGGTAGTAAACAAACAATGCTTTTATCTTTTATCATTACCTCATTTATCTGTGAGGCTGTTGTATGAAAAACAGTACAACACTATTTTCAGCAGCTCTCGAAATTGGTCCCAAGTGAACGACCAGCACCAAAATTACAGTAAAGATGAAAATAAAAGAAGTGCAACACCACCACCATGCCAGGACACCGAAAATCTTCAATGAATCTAGACATAAAGGGGATAAAAAAGTTTAATGAACTGCCTGCATACCTTCAATCGGTTCGAATATGGGGTTCCTTGGAATCGGCGTTGCAGCTCGAGCACCATACGAGGATCAAGCTCCACCGCAATCACGGACTTTCCGGCTTCGAGAAGCTTTTTAGTGAGGTTACCGGTGCCGGGACCTATCTCGAGGATGACATCGGTGGGTTTTATGCCGGATTTCTGAACGATTGAGTCGATCAAGAGCGGGTTTTTCAGTATGTGCTGGCCCTTCGACTTATGGAAAGGAATACCCCCTTGAAAATGAGGGTTGGATGCCCCGGCGCCGCCTCTCTGCGGCCGCTCTCTCTTGATTTTGCCTCCCGCCATGGTGGTTGCACGCTGCAACTATTGGACAAGATTGAGGTCTAGGTTTTTGACTTTTTGTAAAAAAATTGATAAAATGACAGTTATATTATTCCTTAAAACTTTTTTTTTTTTAAAACTTAATTTAAATATAATCATTTATATTTAAAATTTCATTATCGGTTTTCTAATGCATTTTTCATAATTAATTCAATGCAAATAAAATAACTAATTAATTGATATAATTAATTCTTATGAAAAATAAGTAATTAATTAATTATCATGCATATTAGACAGAGCATCCCATAAATAAATATCATGCATATAAGATAATGAATATGCAAATCCCATATATAAATATAATGTATATTAAATAATTAGTAACAATAAACATGAAAATAAATAATTCAGCTATTGTGTGCATTATTAACAATTCAAGAAAGATATGAAAACCGACAATTAAGTCAACTAGTACAACACACCGTGTATTACACGGGTGCTTGTTAAAAAGATATTTTTAAATTTTAAAATTAATGAGAAAACTATATTAAACTTAGTTTACTTTTTTATTAAAAAATACATTACTATATATTTTAGAATGATATGTGTTATTTATGACTTACATGTGTTATATTATATTAGTTTTTATAACTTATATCATATAACTACATGAAATATAAATATATTAGTTGATAAATAATTTTATTTTTCTAATTAATATTAAAAATAATTTTATTGTTGTTATAAGGATAAATATAAATTATTTTTTTTATCCATACAATATGGATGTTAAATCGAAAGACATCGAAAGAAGATTAATTTGATATATTACATATATAAAACTGATAAAAAATACAAAAATTATTAAATTTGAAATATATATACAATTCAATAGTTATAATAAGGAATGATATTAAAATGCAATCAATACATGTAACATGACCATAAGTAATCAACATATTTATGGTAATCCGAACCTAATTATTTTTCGTTTGGAATTAAATTAAAATTTACCCAAGCCTAATAACGAAGCATGTAATTTTGCCACATAAGATTCTGAAGCACCAAAAACAGCCACGTAGGCTCAGCGCGTTCGAGATTAATATATAGGGGGGATATTGGAAGTGACTTTCCTATCAGTCGATGAATTATCACCGTCACATTTCACACGTGCGTAATTTTTTCGGGCAAAAAAAAGAGCAACTTCATTGCAAAAAATCTCGTCTGTAATTGATCAATCTCGTATGGAAAAAAAGTCTAGCATAAGAACGTGCAACCGGAGAAATTGCGTATGATTGATTTAATTAGGACGTAAATCTTAACACCAAAACAAAGAGATTTCAATTTTCATTAAGTGAGATTGATTTAATTGATTAAATTTTAAACTTAAATATATCAACCAAATTCGAGATTTTTCAAATTTTTTGATAAATATTTTCAAAGAAAATTAAGAAGGCTCTGCATAACATGAGAGATGTAAAGGACTTTGAATAAAAATTATAAATATTCAAACTTAAGAGTTTTATATTTATTTATTTATTATTATTAACTTATCTATAGATATATTTTTTTTTTAAAGTATGATATGTAATCATAAAGGTTTTAGTTAAAAAGTATCTATCTTTTTGTCTAATTTATTGAGCACAAAATAAAAATGTGAAAGATTGGCATATTATTTTTATTGTAATTACGTACATAAAGATTAAAAATTGTAGGAATGTTTGAAAACTTAAAAACCTAATGAAATATTTGATTTTAAAACAATGTAGATATTATAATATATATATTGCTACATTTATGGATAGTAATTATACTATAATTATAAATTCTTTTTAATTGAACATAATTTTCGGGTACTCTCAGAAATTTTGAAATTATCTAAATTAAGGAGTACTTTGAATTTTTCATTTTAGTGTATTAAAGTGATTCCAAATTTTTTGAAAGATAGTTAAATATTTTAATTTGCATATGATAAATGATAATGAAAAAATAAAAAAATTTTCCAACATCTTAAGAAATTGAAATTTAAAAGTTTAAAAAAAAAAGAAAGGAAAAAGTACGTAATGTTGGAAAAGAAAAAAAATAATATAGGAAAGAAAAAAAAATGTCATGCTTCAAAAGAACTAGTACATAGCCCGTGCGATGCACGGGGTGCACAATTTTTAGGCCATTTATCCAGCCTTATAATTATATAAATGAATAAAGAAAATGTACGAGATATATATAGTACGTGACCTGTGCGAGACAATAAATATATTTATTTGGGGATTATTATACTATAAGATGCAATATTCAATAAAAGTTTTACAATACACGAAAATAAATATAAATAATGTAAATATCTAAATACATACACGATATGTAGAATAAATAAGCCAAATTTCAAATATGAAAATATAATTTAAAAAATAATCGAAAATATATTTCACTAAACATGTACAAAAATATCTAAATACATACACGAAAAAAAAAATTACGTTTCAAATTTCGAAATTAAAACAAAAATTCAAATAATTTGGCTTACAGTTTTATCATGCAGAACCAACTCGAGATATGATTTGTATGTGCTGCCGCAGTCTTGGAAAAACACTCTCACAATTCAATCTTTGAGTATAGGTTTATTAGACCTATTGACTTGTTTGATTAACCAAATTCTCGATTCATTGTTTTGAATAAAAGACTGATTGGAGATAATTTTTGTTTGCAGAAGGTTGATATTGAGGAAGATGATGACTCGATATTTTGATATTTGTAATTTATAATGGGTAGAGCAGATATATATTGTTGTTAATATTTTTATTAGAAAATTTGAATCTGAATATACAGAAATCGGTTTGAACAAAATCAGAACAGATTTTCATACAATTAGATAATAAATAAAGCCTTTTTATTTTAGTAAAGATTTTACGTACTTTTTTTTTATTTATCGGATGTTATGGGGTTTTTTTTGCTAAACCGATTTTATGGGATATAATACAAAGACAATTAGAGGATTGAACAAAATCAGAACAAATTTTCATACAATTAGATAATAAAAAGGAATTAGATAAAGAAAAGAAGGAATTAGCTAAGGAATTTCGAATCTGCCTTTTTTCAGTATAGATATACTTTACGTACAAATTTCTATAAAAAGATGTATTTCAATGCAATAAAAAGTAGACATGGTCTAGCTTATGTGACACTAGAAAAAAGAGACCAAGCCCACGCTTGGGTCTATTTTGGACCCAAATACAAACCTGCCAAGTCAGCAATTGTTCACAATTTTCTTTTTTCTTTTTTTAATAGGCAAAACATATATTTTTTTTTTTTTTTGTATGCATTTACTATTACTATATAAACCCAAGTCTTGCTATGTGGCATGTAAATAAACCCAAGTCTTGGATGACATAGATAAAAGTATGTAAAATTAATAAAATTCACTCCAATGCAAAGAGACTAAGTCTCTACTTGAGTCTAAAATAGACTTAAGGGTAGACCATGTCTCTTTTTCTGGCTGCCACATCAGTAGGACCCAGTCTATTTTTGTTTGCACTTGAGAATAGAATTTTTTAGACTACGTCTATTTCTTATGTGGCATACAATTTTTTGTGATTGAACCCAAAGCATTGTGGATTCTCTTAGGTATTCTAGACCTAGTACTTTTTTTTTTGGCATTTTTTAGATTTTGGATTTTTTAGCTTGTGTTTGTCCATGTCTTTATGGACTTAAGTTTATTTATTTGCCACATATGCAAAAAAGAGACCCGAAACATTGTGGGTGCTCTCATAATTAAATAATATCAATAAATCATACTAACACATATCAATTTTGATTCACAATTTATCTACTCACATATTTTAACTACTCATCTCTTCAGTCACATCTCTCATACTTTTTACCAGTGTTCTAGAAGTCGCTAGGCGCCCGATCAGACCCTAGCGCCTATGCGGAGCCTAGAAATTAAGATTTAATACATTCTTTTTTTAATTCACTACATATAAAATAAGTGAAAATAACTATTTTCACCCCGTTTGGAAGTTTTGTTAAGTTTTTCACACCGTCTAATAAAAAGCTAAAATTTTCACCTCAAAAAGTGCGAAAGGCATTGTGCGATGAATATGCGACAATTGCGCGATGACATTGTGCGAAAGATAAAAGTGCGCAATGCCTTTCGCACTTTCTGGGGTGAAAAAAGGTTAAAGTGCGAAGGAACTGTGCGATGAATATGCGACAGTTATGCAATTGATATGCGACAGGTTTTTGCATAACCTTCACATATGTGACAGTTATGCGATGAATATGCGACAGTTTTCGCATAACCTTCGCACTTTTCGGGGTGAAAAACTTAACTTTTTATTGTGCGGTGTGAAAAACTTATTGTGTCTTTGTATTGGGGTGAAAAAGATTTATTCCCATAAAATAGCACCATCTCAACTTATTATAAATCCACACACTTAAGTCCAAATAACAATATTAATATATTATAAGAAAATATGATAACAAAATAATATAATTAGTATATTAAAAAATGAAAAATTATTATCGAGCCTGTCTAGCCTTACATAGGCGCCGCCTGACCTATTTTTTCAAGCCAATCAATGCAAATTGGAGGTGCCAATAATTAGTACATTAACTTTTACATCAAATCATTTGTAGGATGACAAGAATTTCTTTCAACCCTAATCCTCTCTCCATCTTTTTCTCTTCCCGCTGCGCCACTTCAGTCCAGATCCAAAGTTACCGCCGCCCCCTCTTCCAACAAGTGAATCTCGCGCTCTCCAGGTGACTAGGTCGAGTCGCGGTTGGGGCCATCATTTCTGCCCCTCCCGGAGTCCTGCAGGGACTTGGCCGGCAGTGGGTCTCGTTATCTCGCCTTTCCCCCCTGCTCCGGTGGGGGCCGCTGGCCGTTTTCAGCCCCAGTCGAGGGAGCCCGCCATTTTGCTGGTGTCCCGGTCTCGCGAGCTGATTTTCCGCACCATGGAGACACAGGTTTGGTTAGCTTCTTGGAGGGGGAGGGGGGGTCACGTCTGTCGAGCCGTCCTGCTCAGATGCGAGCCGCGAGGTGCCTCCGTGATTCTTTGTGTCGAGCCCTCTGGCATATTCTTGGTGGGTCTCCTCTTTTCTCCGGTCTCGAAGCTCTTCTATTTCGAATCTGGACCGAAAATTTGTCTAGGCGGTTTGAATGGCCGCAGTTTTCGGATTTGGAGTCTACTTCTGCTGCTCGTTTGAGGTTCTTGGCCGTGGGTATGACTTGGGTGTCAGTTTTGGTGGTCGGGTGATTCTTTTGCTTGGTTTAGGGGAGGTTTTATTTCTTTTCGGTATATTAGGTGTGTTAGTTTTAGCCTCTTT